ATATGCAATTGATCAAGAGAGACCCTTCATCAAGAGAAGATCGGATAAAAAATTCTGAGTGAGAGAAATTCTATAATTAATTTTTATTAAGAAAGAAATTTCCTATTTTCAGGCCCTCGTGGCTCATGAATCGTCAGAGAGGATTTTTTCTTGAATTAGATGGATCTTGTGATACACTGAAATTAGCTTTTTAATACGACGGGATTCAGCATTATAGATTTATAAACCCATTTCATCGCACAGATAAGGAATTTGTAAATCAGATGAGATTAAGAATTACAAGTGTGAACAAAAGGAGTGACTCTCATAAGATTAAAATATGACGTTAAGAATCTTGAGGAATACATAAGGCATGAACTGAGAAAGAAAAATTTTATTTGAACCTTTCTTCAAACAGTTTGAAAAAAGATTTAGCTCAGGTGTGTGATAATGGCTTACCTCATTAATAAGTCACGCTTTCAAGCTTTTTGTTGATAATGTTGAGCTGAGCATCCAAGTGGATGAAGATGTGACATTTAACATTCCCCGAACCCGATTAATTGCGAGCTGAATTACTTCTTTTGTATCCATGAATCTCAATCCACTTCCATGTAGATCATTGTCTCTCGTACTCCTTAGATCGATGAAAAGAGCGAATCTGTCTCCGGCATAAAAGTCTGTCGCATTCATCGCACTGTTTTCCTTTCTAGATCTTCTGGAGACCTCTCCCCACATATCTCTTTCCTCCATTCCTTGGCTGCAAACTTTATTCGTTGACCTTTATTCCGTTGACAATCCCCTTCACTTCAGTGATGTCGGGATTTAATGTCTTCTCACTGTCTCTCGCACTAGCGGCATATTGCTCGTAAAAAAGATTGATTGGTTGACTCCCACCTTCATGTCGGAACTTCCCTTCTTCATGCAGTTATTATACCCAGCCATACTCTGAGTGTTAGGAAGAAGATTTGAGGGCATGAGCCAAATGCCTGTTGAGACTGCAAGATCAAGGAGGACTTTAGCCTCATCAATCGCACGCCGAAACTTCTGAACGCTCTTCCAAATGTCTAGCTTTCTGATGGCATTCTCAACCAATACCAGGAAGTCACGTTGAGCTTCTTTCGCGCTTCCTGATGAACCCAAGATTGATGATCTGACATTGACTTGTGAACTAAGAGTGCAGTACATGAATGCCTCAATCGAATGATTCAGTCTCGCCATCCCAGCTTGCGTCAGACTTTCTGACTTGTCTGCCATGAAGAAGTGGAATTGCCTCTCAACTCTCGCATTATCATTTCTGATGAAGTATATCAGATTTCCCTTGATTTTCCACCCTCATAACTGAACTTGTCGGATATGTGTCTGAAGTTGCTATTGGGCCGGCATTTGTCGCATAAATGAAAACAGATCCGAGACTGTGATTATCGCCTCCTTTGGAGCGGAACCCAGCGCTTGGTTTGAACGATGGCTGTCATAATTATTATTTTATCTGGCTGAAAGTTGGGTCACCCGGAAGAGCTGACTCACTCTGAATTCCACCCATCTCAAAGAAAATCTTTTTGGCTGTGAAGTAGATGTGAA